AGAAGTGCTACAGCATTACATAATAGGTGCCAAACATAGTGCTAAAATATTTAACTGAGTGCAGGCACAAAGCATGAGGTGATACAGTGCAACATCTTTAAGTGCCGGAATTGTGCATCCCGGTACGTTGGTAGGACTCTTCGACACCTGACCGCACGTATCAGACAACATGTGCCGTTGGACTTATTACCACCAGCAGCCAGAGCAAAGCGGCCAAAGCGTGGTCGGCCATGCAAGAACCCAGTTAGCTCAGTAGACAAACACGCTGTGCCGACATCGCCGCCTGTTCCCGTGCCACCACCGGCCCCACCACCTGCGGTGCCGTGGGTGTCTGGAGCTGGGGTGGGTTTGCCATCAGTGACCTGGCCACCAATTCTTGACCCACGGCGAACAGCAGCGGAGCCTACTCTAGCACCACATCATCGTCACTGAACCCTCATCTCGGCAGTTGCCCTTGCCTCCGCCTGAGCCACCCCCTTTACCTGTGGTGACTACCGAGACGGTGGTCCCCCGGTGCTGGGATCAACAGTGCCGACTGTGTCTGGACAGAGAGGGAGATCATTGACAAACCATAATGAAACTAATATCCTTACCCATAGACCCAGAAGAAGCACAGCTAACTATGCACATGAAATTTATGCACGGAATGGACTTGGCCCACGCAAAATGGACAGTGGAAATGGCTGTGTAGTAGCAGAGAACCCAGCAACGGTGAGGCGGAGCAGCGGTCAAACGACTTGTGATGCTGGTGGAGATGATGGAGCCATGTTGGAGGCTGATAAGGTGTGCAGTGAGACTGAGCATCAGACGGATGATGAGGAAGTGACTGAAGATGATGATGGTGGTGATGAGGACGATGATGATGAAGATGAGATGGAGGACGAGGATGAGGCGCAGGAGGTTGAAGGGAAGGAGCGAGATGAGACGGAAGTGAGCGACGTGAGCAAAAAGTCAGCTGTATTTTGTCACTTGTTATCACGTCCAGATTGTCTTAGTGTGTACGATGATTCTCACTTTTCTGTTTTGTGCCGTGCAAGTTATGTTAACCAGTTGAAGGTTCTGGAAGCTGTATGTATTCGTGTGCATAATCCTGTTCTTTGTAAGCAAAAGAAGCATGAAGTCGCGCTGAAGTTGTTCTCCTAGCTGGTTATCAGATGTAAATTTCGTGTTATGTTGCACTGTGTCACATCAGGCTTTGTGCCTGCACTCAGTTATATATTGTAGCACTATGTTTGGCACCTATTATGTAATGCTGCAGCACTTCCCTTTTTTGTTCACACTTTTAATTATGAAACTCGGGTATTGAGCCAATAATAAAAGTAGAAAGGAAAAGGACATAATTATGGAAACGAGTTAAGAGTAACTCTCCACCACTGTAACTATTATACAGTCAGAAAGTGCATCAACTAGGCACAAAACTGACAGAGTACTGAGACATTCGACGTTCTGACACCTAGCTTCAACACATCTCCGTAGCGCTAACCGACAGCCTTCCAACTTGGAAGGTTCAAGGTTATGGAAATACCAAAGAGGGGGAAGGCAAGCGCAACGAAAACGAGCACAAGCTACAGTCCCAACGGAACAAAGAATGTAGATTGTTAATGGACGATGACGAAACCAGTAGCCGATTTGACGAAGCGGTCTAACTACAATTCGAAGCAGCAAAGCAGCACACCACCCAACTTGGGTGGGTCATAAATATCAAAGATAAGTAAAGAAAGGGGAAGCTTTGCGAGAACGAATTGTACAAGCCGAACGCCAAACTCCTACAGTACTCCTCATGCATGACATTGTGATGGATTAGTTAACTACAAAACAAGTTGTGTCACACGACGTACGTTTCGCCGTATGGTTCGTGACGGCTCATCAGGTGTGCAATTTGAAACTCGGGTATTGAGCCAATAATAAAAGTAGAAAGGAAAAGGACATATGGAAACGAGTTAAGAGTAACTCTCCACCACTGTAACTGGATACTACAGTAAAACCTGTGACTACCGACCACCCCTTGGTGCCAGCAAAAGCGGTCTTTAGTAGCAGGTGGTCTTTAGTTAGAGGTTTACACCGCGCGACCATATATGGATCCCGTTATATGATATGTATATCAAAATGCAGCTAATACAATTCCCCAAGACTTGCGCAATGCCATTCTTATTTCAGGTCAAACAACACTTGGAGAGAAAGACGAAGAGAGACAGAGAGAGAGAGAAGATTAATTTTTTTTTGCGGACATCAAATTCAGCTTCTACTTCTGAAGCCAGTAGTCAAACGTTCCCTGTGGAAGTTTCGTTTTGCGCTGGGCTTCAAATTTGTTCATACGATCAATCGTACCGACTGTCCTTGTTGCGACTTCTCGATTGCTTGAACGCGATCCTTCAGCATCAGGACCTTGTGGTGCTGCTTTGTTTCTGGATTCCTTGATGCTATCGTCGATTCATCTGTATGACTGGGGTGACAGAGCCGCTCAGTCTTCTTTTCTCCTCCGAGTAGTATAACATCGATCAGAGAGCGCTTTCGATGCGCGTTTCCTATCATGTTTATTCTTGACATCGCTTGACATTCTGACAGGTGTAGTGCAGTCCACACCGACTCCACAGTCAACATGACATGCGTTCATTTCTTCAGCTGTGGTATCGAAAGATTCCTTTCAGCAATTCAGGACCACGGAAAATCATCAAAATTTCAAGAAGGAGCTTCGAGCAACATTTGAGTTCCTATATCGGGGTCGCTAGTTACGGGTCTAAAATCATCTTTGGGACAAGAAAAGGCGGTCGCTGGTCGCGTTCAGCAGGTAGTCGCTAGTCACAGTGAATTTTTAATGTGAGACCGTCCGTGCCTGGCGAAGTGGTCGGTAGTGCCAGGCTGGTCGCTAGTCACGGTGGTCTGTAGTACCAGGCTGGTCGCTAGTCACGGTGGTCTGTAGTACCAGGCTGGTCGCTAGTCACGGTGGTCTGTAGTGCCAGGCTGGTCGCTAGTCACGGTGGTCTGTAGTACCAGGCTGGTCGCTAGTCACGGTGGTCTGTAGTACCAGGCTGGTCGCTAGTCACGGTGGTCTGTAGTACCAGGCTGGTCGCTAGTCACGGTGGTCTGTAGTACCAGGCTGGTCGCTAGTCACGGTGGTCTGTAGTACCAGGCTGGTCGCTAGTCACGGTGGTCTGTAGTACCAGGCTGGTCGCTAGTCACGGTGGTCTGTAGTACCAGGCTGGTCGCTAGTCACGGTGGTCTGTAGTACCAGGCTGGTCGCTAGTCACGGTGGTCTGTAGTACCAGGCTGGTCGCTAGTCACGGTGGTCTGTAGTACCAGGCTGGTCGCTAGTCACGGTGGTCTGTAGTACCAGGCTGGTCGCTAGTCACGGTGGTCTGTAGTACCAGGCTGGTCGCTAGTCACGGTGGTCTGTAGTACCAGGCTGGTCGCTAGTCACGGTGGTCTGTAGTACCAGGCTGGTCGCTAGTCACGGTGGTCTGTAGTACCAGGCTGGTCGCTAGTCACGGTGGTCTGTAGTACCAGGCTGGTCGCTAGTCACGGTGGTCTGTAGTACCAGGCTGGTCGCTAGTCACGGTGGTCTGTAGTACCAGGCTGGTCGCTAGTCACGGTGGTCGGTAGTACCAGGCTGGTTGCTAGTCACGGTGGTCTGTAGTACCAGGCTGGTCGCTAGTCACGGTGGTCTTTATTTACAGGTTTTACTGTATATACAGTCAGAAAGTGCATCAACTAGGCACAGACCTGACAGAGTACTGAGACATTCGACGTCCTGACACCTAGCTTCAACACATCTCCGTAGCGCTAACCGACAGCCTTCCAACTTGGAAGGTTCAAGGTTATGGAAATACCAAAGAGGGGGAAGGCAAGCGCAACGAAAACGAGCACAAGCTACAGTCCCAACGGAACAAGGAATGTCGATTGTTACTGGACGATAAAGAAACCAGTAGGCGATTTGACAAAGCGGTCTAACTACAATTCGAAGCAGCAAAGCAGCGCACCACCCAACTTGGGTGGGTCATAAATATCAAAGATAAGTAAAGAAGGGGGAAGTTTTGCGAGACCGATTTGTCAAATCGCCTACTGGTTTCGTCATCGCCCAGTAACAATCGACATCTTTGTTCCGTTGGGACTGTAGCTTGTGCTCGTTTTCGTTGCGCATGCCTTCCCTCTCTTTGGTATTTCCATAACCTTGAACCTTCCAAGTTGGAAGGCTGTCGGTTAGCGCTACGGAGATGTGTTGAAGCTAGGTGTCAGGACGTCGAATGTCTCAGTACTCTGTCAGATCTGTGCCTAGTTGATGCACTTTCTGACTGTATATAGTATCTAGTTGCAGTGGTGGAGAGTTACTCTTAACTCGTTTCCATATGTCCTTTTCCTTTCTACTTTTAATTATGCTGTTATAAAATGTTCTTTTTTGCGCACAGCACCCTCAGTTCCGATACTATTCACTGATGAACGAACACGAAAATCGATTTTGAATAACATTAAAATCCTTTAAAATTCCATGAACTCGTTGTTGTCTGGCCATGTCTGCATTCATTATACTCTTTATTGCACTTATTTATATTTTAAATTAATATGGAAGTCCCCACAGACTCAAGGTCTTCTAACGGGGTACCCTAAGAATGAAATTCCATCTCTCTGCAACCAACGAAGGAAGAGAAGAAAAAAACGGTAGTGTGAATACGTATTGGTATATAGACCCGTGGCTGAGGTCCTTCAGTAGATGTATTTCAACAACTTTCGAACCGACCTTAAGGGCTGTTTTCAATGGCTCAGGCCCATTTTCTAATATTTTCTGCTTTTACAACCCCTCGTACCTCTTGGCACCTTCATTTGCTTCCTTTTTGTCGTGTACCTCGGCTCGTTTGATCACTGCTATTTAAAATCAATTTAAACAACAACAACAACAGCAAGCATGATCTTGGACGATCCCCCTTATACTAGCTTGCCTTTCAGTGATATTATTTCCTAACCATGTTCCAATACTGTTAGTGACACTCATTGTTGATAATACTTACAGGGTGCGGAGGTTTGGTAGACCAGTAAAAACACCACTACCTATTGTTGAGATCTGATTGTTGTCCAAATATCTATAAACAATGAAGGACAAAGGCAGTAATGCTGATATACGGGAACAACAGTGCGAAGATCTCCCAGAAACTGACGCCGCTGTGAGCCGTCCGATCCTTTGTAACTCTGAGCATCAAATCCTGCTATTGTACAGATCATTAACTTAATGCTACCTGACAAGATATATGGATCCAATGCTTTCTTCTCGGTTCTCACTGAGTAAAAGTAGGACCTAAACCTGGGAACCTTTGTTTCTCCATCATTGTATTAGACCATCCCCTTATGCCCGCTTGTCTTTCTCTGATATTCTATTCGTAAGCACACAGAGAGTAATGCTGTTATACAGGTATGGGATTAAGTCACTCGAATTCCGTCCCCTCTGTCACGATAGGATGCATATTGGAAACGTTCATCAGTGGTTTGTCCCATACTAGGGGTGAAACGAGTGCCAAAATAGGGGACTCGAGTACTATTTAAAAAAAAAGAGCGAGTATTCGAGCGAGTACGAGTATTTAACTGACAACATGAAACAATGTAGTGCATACACTTTCGTAACAAAGAACGTACTACACCTGATACACATGTAGTCTTGTATACAGCCTAGTGCAGCAAATAGTCGAACTACTGTCTTCTGCTGAAAAGTAGGGACAAGAAATAACTTCGCGCTTACATGGACCATCAGTACCAGTCAGAGTAACAGAAATGCTTGATGTACATGCATACAATACACTGTACATAGGATACTTTGAGTATTTCGCGAAACGAGCATTTGCTCGTTTCAAATTTTTGAGCGAGAGCTCGAGTATTCGATATACTCGTTTCACCCCTATGCCATATCCAATTCAGAAATGAATACATCTCATACAAACATTGCTGGTGTACAGAACAAAGCCTTAACGAGCAACACACAATTCCCTGTCATTAGCTGTGTTTATGGATAGTCCTTGAGTTTTTCAGATAAACTGCTTTATCTTTTACCTGTTGTTCCTTTTAGAATGGCATAACGTCCACTGTGGGTGAGAGGCTCGCAGTTGAGAGAGAAAAGATGTGTCAAGCTATACAATGTGTTTATCACATCAATATTCCTATACATTTGCTCAACACGGGGACTCACAAGCAATGTCATGAAGCGACTGGTGGTGAATCTCGCTGGTGGGCGCATCCCTGGAGTCCGATTCAAGGTACCTGCATCGGCAGAGCTCCCATCCTCACTGTCCTTTTTATCTGCACTGCTTGCGTTGCCAGTTGTCATTTTTCAAGCTTTCGCGCAATTATTTCTTCGAGCTCACAGTGAGTTTTCCAGCCAGCTCTCGAGCGCGCATACGGTAAAACGGCAAACTCCCCGGGCGATCGCCAGGATTGCTAATCTTTTAGAAATTACCTGTAGGGGCTGGGAGTCGGTGCGTTTATACAGCTCGCTATTTTTGATGACTTGAGGGTACTTGATCCCGACGACTGTTTGCAATTGATGTCTGTGGAATGCTTCCAGCAGACCAAGCAGCCAAGTTCTCTGTCTCAGTTGGCAATGCGTTTGCACCCCTCAGCCGGCAATGACCAACAAAACCCTGAAACTGTTCGTAACAAATGCCTTTAATGAGTAATTTGAAACTCGGATGTTGAGCCAATAATAAATGTAGAAAGAAAAAAGGACATATGGAAACGAGTTAAGAGTAACTCTCCACTACTGTAACTAGATACTAGATACAGTCAGAAAGTGCAACAACTAGGCACAAAACTGACAGAGTACTGAGACATTCGACGTCCTGACACCTAGCTTCAACACATTCCCGTAGCGCTAACCAACAGCCTTCCAACTTGGAAGGTTCAAGGTTATGGAAAGACCAAAGAGGGGAAGGCAAGCGCAACGAACACGAGCACAAGCTACTGTCCCAACGGAACAAAGAATGTTGATTGTCACTGAACGATGACGAGACCAGTAGGCGATTTGACAAAGCGGTCTAACCACAATTCGAGGCAGCAAAGCAGCACACCACCCAACTTGGGTGTGTCAAAAATATCAAAGATAAGTTAGGAAGGGGGAAGCTGTTGTTGCACTTTCTGACTGTATATAGTGTCTAGTTACAGTGGTGAAGAGTTACTCTTAACTCGTTTCCATATGTCCTTTTCCTTTCTACTTTTAATGAGTTAGTTAGATGAATTCCGCCATGTGGTCCATGCTGAATCCCCGGATATTGCCATAGTAACAGAGTCTACGCTGTAAGAGCCTGTGACTCAAGCAGAGTTGACACTCCCTGGCTACTACCAGTCTCTGAGATGCGACCGAAACCGCAATGGTGGTGGGGTGGCAGTTTGGGTGAAGGTCATGCTGGCCATGAACGAACTGGATACCATTGATGTCTTGGGTCAGGAGCTAGTATGGCTAAACGTCAAACTGTCAACTGGCCGGCCTGTGGCTATATGTGCTGCATACCGTCCTGGAACGCGCTCAGACACAGACACCAGTATCCTCAGGGGCCTCACCTCCACAGCCTGCCACAACTCCGCTCTGATAGTTCCTGGGGACTTCAATGTACATAACCAAGAGAGGCTCCATAGTAGCAGAACAACTAGAGCCGGCGAGTATGCAGAGGACATGTGCTACATGCAGGGTCTTGAGCAGCTAGTCGACCTACCAACGCGTGGCCGCAACACACTGAACCTGATCATGTCCGACCTACCCTTAGAATCATTGGCTACTGTCTTGCCACCTCTTGGCCAATCTGACCATGCCTGTATACTTGCTGACTTCCAGATCCATGCGTAATGCGAGCCTCCCATATGAATAACAGTATGGAGGTATCAGCATGCTGATTGGGCCAGGCTCCGTCACTTCTTCAGAACCACCAATTGGGCAGATATTTCTCGGACTGATCCAGACCTGTCATGCACTGGCATCTCAGAGAGGATCCTGGAGGATATGAAGAGATTCATCCCCTGTAAAATGCTGAAAACCCGAGCATCAGATCCTCCATGGTGGACGCCCGAGTGCACTGCTGCCACAGTGAGGAAAGGACGTGCATGGAGGTGCCTGAGAGATGACCAGTCTGACGACGATCGGCAGTCAGCCTACCAAGATGCACGGCTCTCAACGATTGCTCGTCTCAAAACTGCCAAGAGTGCTTTCATGGTGAAACTAAGACAGAAAATGACCTCAAAGCAGCTGCCACCCAGTGACTGGTGGCGCACCGTCAAGCGTGCCTCTGGCAATGGGCGTGGTCAATCTGTTCCGACAGTACGTGATCCCGATGGACGTGAGTACACAGCCAGCGCAGACAAAAGCAGAATGCATGGCCCGCTATTTTGCAAGCAAATGCTGTCTCGGCCAAAATGACCTGTCAGCCCCATTCCCATATGTCAGACCTCGAACTGACCAGGCTCTTTCGAACGTCCGTTGCTGTTGAACGCACCCTTCGCCAGCTCAACCCATCAAAGGCAACCGGGCCGGATAGGATACCGGCACGAGTGTTGAAAACCTGCTCCGCTTAACTGGCGCAACCGCTTTCAAAACTGTTTGCCCAATGCCTCCAAACTGGGATGCAGCCCAAGACATGGAATATTGCCAACATAGTCCCTATATTCAAACGGAAATCAAAGTCTCTACCCTCCAATTACCGTCCAGTTTCGCTCCTGTGTATCCTGTCCAAGGTGATGGACACAATCATCAACAGAACAATCACAAATGTTCTCTAGTCGAACAACGTCTTCTCCACCAGACAGTTTGGATTTCGCCATGGTCATAGTGCAGCCGACCTCCTTACCAGCCTCCACCACCAGTGGCTGCATACAGCCGGGAGAAAGGCGCAGCACGCATCCTCGCCATTGACATCGCCGGTGCGTTTGATCGCGTATCACACCCCGGTGTGCTACACAAGTCCGACGTATACGGCCTGCGTGGGCAACTGCACCAGTGGCTCAGCAGCTACCTCAGTGAACGCTACCTTCAAGTGGTCATTTGTGGCCAGACATCCTCAAGGCTCCCAATTCAGGCTGGCGTCCTCCAGGGCAGTATTCTGGATCCGACTCTCTTCCTCATGTATGTGAACGACTGCCAGGACCACGTACCAGCCGGTGCTGACCTAGCCTCGTTCTCAGACGACACTAAGCTGTATGCCAACGTCACCCCCACCACCCAAGAAGATACCACCCATGCCCTCACAACATCTCCCGCTGGGGTCAAGAATGGAAAATAATATTTGAACCAGCCAAATCCCAGGCACTGACTGTCAGCTTCCACAGCACCCAATGGGACATACCACTGATTTACTTCAATGGATCAAATGTGACGGAACAAGAGGAGCTCAAAATCTTGGGCATCAGTTTCGATGGTCAGCTTACCTTCCGGCGCCACCTTCGTACCGTAGCCCTCCGGGCAACGCAGCGACTTGGCGCTTTGCGTAAGGCTGTCCACTTCCTAGACGGGCCCGGTCGCATCCAAGCCTACAATGCTTTTGTGCGCCCAGTGATGGAGTACTGCCCTATTGCCTGGATGGGAGCGGCCCCATGCCATCTTGCAAGACCCGACCGTGTGCAAGCCCTGGCCATCCGTGCCATCGCCCCAATGTGTTGGCTGTCGAGTCTTGCTCTTCGGTGGATGGCTGCAGCACTTTGCCTCCTGTACAAGATGCATTGTCCGGATGCACATCTCCACTCTACAGAGGATGCTGCCACCCCAGCAGCCCCAACACCGAACAGTCCACTCCACCCATAGTACATTCCAGAGATGCAATGCTCACGTACACCATCTCACCAATGAACTTCCAGTCCGTTCCCCAAAATAACCTTTGTCGAGCCTACTCTCACCCAGTCGTCCCCGTCTGGAACCAGCTGCTTGCCTGAGTCTTCTCTGGTCCATTCTGCACCAAGAACTTGCAACACTTCAAAGTTCCAGTAAACCGCTATTTGAAGACCAACGATTGGTCGTGGGCACATGACCATCTCTGATTATCAGCATCATATCTGCCTCGCCCCTGACTTCCAAATTCCGCTCCACATACTATTCCCAATAACGTCTGTTCTTCTT